TGGATCCTCCTGCTTCTTCCTAAGAGAAAGGCAGAGATTTTCTACAAGAGATCAACAGCCTCAGAAATCAGATAGAGGGTCACCAGTGATTGGAATAAACTCAATGCCAGTGAGTGTAAGTGTGTATAGCTAGGCCATACCTGATGTATCCATTCATCAATTGATGGCCATTAGGTTTGTTTTCACTTCTTAGCTACTAATTATATGCACTATCATGTTTGTTATAGATAGATCCACACTTACTCCCATTCCGAAAAAAGATGACCCGACAAAGTGTGGAAACTATTGTACAATATCACTAATATCACACACTAGCAAAATCCTCCTGAAGATTATCCAGAAAAGACTAGAACAGTACATTGGCAGAGAACTACCAGAAATACAGGCTGGGTTTAGAAGAGGTCGTGGAAGCAGGGACATTAATGAGAATGTCAGATGGATCTTGGCAGAAAGCAGAGAGTACCAGAACAATGTCTATCTATTTTTCATTGACTATACAAAGGCATTTGACTGTGAGGATCACAATAAATTGTGGCTAACCTTGAGGAAAATAGGAATCTCAGAACACTTGATTGAGCTTATATGAAACCTATACTTGGACCAAGAAGCAATCCTCAGAACAGAGCAAGGAAACACTACATGGTTCAAAATCAAGAAAGGAGTGCTTCAGGGATGCATCCTGTCCCAGTACATTTTCAATCTGTATGCAGAACAGATCATTCAGGAAGTAGGGCTTTATGATGAGGAGTGTGGCATCAAGATTGGAGGGAGACTCATTAACAATGAACGATATGCAGATGATACAACCTTGCTTGTGGAAACTGAAGAAGACCTGAAGCACTTGTTGGAAAAGGTCAAGGACTGTAGTCTTCAATACGGATTGAAGCTCAACATCAAGAAGACAAAGATTCTCACCACTGGGCCAATTGGCAGCACCATATTAGACGGAGAAGAGATTGAGGTTGTTAGCAATTACAGCTTGCTCGAATCCACAACCAACACTCTTAACACCAGCAGTCAGGAAATCAAAAGACAAATTGCATTGAGAAAATCTGCTGTCATGGACCTCTCCAGAGTGCTGAAGAGCAACGATGTCAGTCTAGATACAAAGGTGCGCTGAATCCAGGCCATGGTTTTCTCAATTACTTGTTATGCTTCAGAAAGTTGTACAATGACTGCAGATGACAGAAGAAGAATTGATGCCTTCGAGTTGTGGTGCTGGAGAAGAGTCTTGAACATACCATGGACTGCTAAGAAAACAAATCAGTCTGTCTTGGAGAGGATGAAACCAAGTCTCTCCTTGGAAGCTAGGATTTTGAAGCTCAGCATCATTTACTTTGGGCATGTGGGCAGGAGAGATCAGTCCTTGGAGAAGGCCCTCATGCTTGGAAGGGTGGACGGACAGCACAGGAGAGAGAGACCCCAGATGAGATGGATTGATACAGCAACTGGGGCCATAGGGGTTGGTGTGTCAGATTAGTGAGACTGGTTCAGGACAGGAAAGGGTTCAGAGCTGCTGTATGCATCGCAGGTGACTCAATGGCACATAACAACAATAACATACTATGACAAGTTTGGAAGCAGGTGTGGCATCCACTTCCTAAACAACATGCCTCAGGAAACTCTATGAACTTTGATAAATGTTGATAGTTATAGAGGGGCTACAGACCTTTTGTTCATAGGGTCGCTATGAATCATGCTTGACTTGAAGGCAATCAACAACAACAACATGTGCATGCTGAAGATTATCCAAAAACGACTGGAACAGTACATCAGCAGAGAACTGCCAGAAGTCCAGGCTGGGCTTAGAAGGGGTCGGGGTACTAGGGTTATTGTAGCTGATGTTAGATGGATCTT